GCTTCTATGTTGGTGCTGGGAACTGAACCCAGCCCTCTGCAGGAGCAGGCAGTCCTCTTAACTGCTGAGCCATCTCTCCAGCTCCTAGTTTAAAAGTGTTTTGCTGTCTCCTGCATTCAATGTATTGCACTATCCCAAGTCATATGGCTTCTGGAAAACACTGTACAATTGAGAAAGATCAGAGATACCTTCTTAATGTTTCAAGTCGTGAGCTCACAGATGTCTCTGAGCATGACTTACATTGGGACAGTTCTCTGTTCTCAGATTGCAGCTCACTTTACTATTCCTCCTTCATAAAACAAGAGTTGTTTTAGCCCAAGGTCAGTTTCTCTAATGGGCAGTTGATCTGCTAACTTTGAAAGGCTTGCCATGAGGTGTGTTAATGATGACAGTGACTGTGCCTCACCCTTAATTTTTTTTTTTTTTTTTTTTTTTTTGAGACAGGGTCTCCCTATAACCACAGCTTGTCCTGAAACTCACTATGGAGACCAGGCTGCAGAGAGCCACACCTGCCTCTGCCTCCCGAGTGCTGGGATCAAAGGCATGCACCACCATGCCCGCTTTCTCCCTTAATTTTCATGCGGCTCTTTGTGAAAATAAGCTCTGTGTAGAAGATCCAGGCCTCAGAAATGGAAAGAGCTGGCTCACAAACATTGTTTAACATTTTCCACTCGCTTCTGAAACTCAAGGCTTCTTTAAGGATGTGCTGTTTCCTAATTTCTTAAACTCAGAAGTATAATCTAAAACTTTCCAACTGCATATTCAACAGACAAATAAATGTTCCATTTCCTCAAAAAATGCTATTTTTGAGTTGGTGGTGGAAAAACCAAACATTCAGTGCTAATAAAATTCAAGTGCGCTATTTGAGCTCAAATGTACCTCGGAAAGTAAACACCAGGAGAGGTTAAGGGTCACTTTCTGGCTAGAGAGAGGCAGGATCTTATTTCTGAGGGTCAGAGGTGATCTTCTGATTCACTTACTCTATTTAGAGCCTCAAAACCAAAAATTCATGTTAAGAGTCCTTAGTACAAAGCTGGATAAGGGGGCACATGCCTTTAATTCCAGCACTTGGGAGGCAGAGGCAGGCAGAGCTCTATGTTTGAGGTCAGTCTGGTCTACATAGCAAGTTCCAGGCCACCTGGGGCTACAGGGAGACCCTGCCCCCACCCCCCCAAAAATCTTTATGCTATCAGAATTCTTGTTTGGTTAAAATTTTCATTGACTATGAATCCAGAAATGCTGGGCTAAAAACTTGTTGATTTTCCATTTGCAGAGCCTGAAGACCATTTTGGTTTCAGTTCCTCGTCCTCTCTTTTGCCCAGGGAGTGCTATGTGGCACAGGATTGTCACTCATGGGCAGAAGAGACAGTGAGATCCTTTTGTGTGTTCTCTCCCTATTCTGGATTGTTTCTCCCCCAGGTTGCTTTGGAGCTATAATCCTCCTGCTTTATCATCCTGAGTGCTGGAATTACAGGTCTGCACCACAATGCTCAGTGCCCAGCTCAGACGTGTGTTTCTCACTAGGAAAGAACTGTGGATGTGATTCACCATGCTTCGAAGTCAGGAGTCTGAGTGTATTTTCAATGTTATATCCATCAAAGGGTTTCAAAACACAGAAGGAAACTATCCAATGAATGCTTTTGGCAGAAATCATGCTGTACTGCCCCCCCCGCCCCCACTTCCCACCTGTTCTCCCAGATTCCTTCTCCATGCCCAGGGAAACTGATCTTTATGAACCATGTCACCCAGGTTTCCTTAGCCTCTGGCTTTGTGGTTGAGACAAGGAAAATGATTTTTCTCATATGTGAAATTTATGGGGGGGGGCATGAAAGTAAAAGAGGGAGTGACTGTGGAGGGGTCCAGAAATGAGGGAGGGGACAGGAGGAAGAGAGGTAAGGATAAATATGATACAGGTATGGAAACGTCATAATGACCCGTTTCTTTGTAGTTACCACACAGGTGAAGAGCAATGGGAAGCAACAGCAAGGAATGAGGAGGGAGATCAGTATGTTCCTCTTCCGAGGAATCAGTGTGCCCTGCCTCAGCCTGGGTGGTAATGGCTCTCCCTTACCATTAGCCTCTGGGGAGCTTTCCCATCATCTCTTGATCCTTTACTTCTGGCTAGACTTCTGTAACTCACCTCCTCACTAAACACTGTTCAGTTAAACCCTTAATATATGCCATCCCGGGGCTGGGGAGATGGCTTAGTGGTTAAGAGCACTTGCTGCTCTTCCAGAGGACCCAGGTTTGCTTCATAGCACATACATAGTGGCTCACAACTGCCTGTATGCAAGTGGCACACAGACATATACTTGGGCACACACACACATAAAAATGAAATATAAATCTTTATATACATGTACATACATATGTATATACCATTCTGCCAGGGTCCACAACAAAAATCTATTCCAAACACTTACCAAGCAAATTTTCATGTTTATTAATATAGACTATATCATATTTTTAAAGAGAGTGAACACATAAACAGTGAAATATTTCACAAGTATAGTAATAACAGTCATATTAAGATGTAGGTTTTTTAATATGTACAGACTGAATAAACGATAGCGAATCACTGACTTAGATGAATGAACATGGTAACAGTTCATCAAATCTGAGCTAGCTTCTACTCACGGTATAATTATATTAATTTTATGTAAGTTATGCTACAATATTTGGAAATACTTTACTCTTTTAAATAAACATTTACTTTGCATCTTTTATTTAAGAAGCCACTATAGTTTTTTTTTAATCAGAAATAAAACGTATTTCAACCTAATTTTCAAATTACTTTGTCAAGTCCATGAAGATTTTTCTATGCTTGTTAGTCACTGTGGTATTAAACAAAATGTGTTTAGAATAGTTTCATTAACTCTTCGGGAAAGTGAATCAAAAAGACATGATAATTTTACCAGATTTCAATTTCAATTCCATTTTCTTACATTTTTTTGTTTGTTCTGATATAAGGTCTCACTATGTAGCCTGGCTGGCCCTGAACTCACAGAGATCTACCTGCTTCTGCTCCCGAGTGCTAGGATTAAAGGTGTGAGCCACCATGTCTGGCCTTCCATTATTTTTTTAACCAGATGGATCTAAATGTTTCTTTTTTTTTGATCTTTTTGAGACAGGGTTTCCCTGTAGCCTCAACTGGCCTGGAGCTCACTATGTAGACCAGGCTGGTCTTGAACTCACAGCATAAAGATAGGATAAGGTCTCACTATGTAGACTGGCTGGCCTTGAACTCACAGAGATCCACTTGCCTCTGTCTCCCGAGTGCTGGGATTAAAGGTGTGTACCACCATGCCCAGTTCTAAATGTTTCTTAAAACCTCATTTGAGTAATTTTTAAGACGATATTTATAAATAAATAGTGTCTAACAATTATAGACGGAAGGGCTTAGTTCTTAAAAATATACATCTTGTATTGTGTTTTTATCTTGTTATAACTACTGCAAGCAAAATCCAGATATCTAAAGTTCTTTAGATATCTTGCTTGTGTGAAATATGCTTGGTGACAACACTGAAAACTTCCTGTATGTACAAGGGCCTATTTGCTGACACCACTCTACCCCTAGTGTCAGCTACCTACTGAGGGCAAGATTCAGTTTTACTCCTGTCTGTAGGGCCAGCACCCATCAGAATACCCAAGGCACATGGATGCGTCCATGCAAGAGCCAGCCTTGCAGGACAGCTACTGGACTGAAAACGCCCTCTTTCTGTTCCTATGATATCCAGAGACTTCTTTCATGCTTATGACCTCCTAGGATGTGAGATCCTGTTTTGCCAATTTCTAATGGATAGAGTCAACTCACTGTCAATCTGGGGAATCCCTGGAAACTGGAACAGGTGTGGTGGACCCCGTCTTGATGCTCTCTGAGAGGCTTAGCTGAACCTGCTGCTCCAAATCCTCTACTGGGGGAGGATGTATGCAGTTCTCAATGTCGGCTGCTTTGAAAGACCTCCTACAGTCCTGGTGGGTCTTATGCTGTTCTGGTTCACATATTTGGTATGTGAAATGTAAAAACACTACCCATATCAAAATGGCCTTTTATTCCTTTGATAATTCTTTTTTTAGTTTTTTTTGTTTGTTTTTTGAGATAGGTCTCCCTGTAGCCCCAGCTGGCCTGGAATACACTATGTAGACCAGGCTACCCTTGATCTCACAGAGATCCACCTGCCCCTGCCTCCCAAGTGCTGGGATCAAAGGCATGCACCAACCATATAAGTACTTTTAAAAAATATTTTATTTTTTATTTTATGTGCATGAGTACATTGGTGGCATGTATGTAAGTGTCATGCAATGCTCATGGAGGTCAGAAGAGGGTATTGGATTCCCCTGGAACTGGAGTTACAGATGGTTGTTAGCCAACATATGGGCGCTGGGAACTGAACCCAGGTCCTCTGCAAGAGCAGCCAGTGCTCTTAACTGCTGAGCCATCATCTCTCCAGTCCCTCTACAAGTACTTAAAAAAAATTATTTTTATGTGTATATTTTGCTTGCATATATATAAATACACCAGGTGTGTGCAGTGCCCAAGGAGGCCAGAAGAGGATGATTGGATCCCTTTTTAGCCACCATGAGGGTGCTGGGAATGGAGCCTGGGTCCTCTGCAAGAGCAGCCAGTGCTCTTAACTTCTAAGCCATTTCTTCAGCCCCTGTTTTGATAATCAGACAGGGTCTCTCTGTAGCCCTAGCTGGCCTGGAACTCACTATGTAAACCAGACTAGCCTTGCTCTCACACAGACCTACTTGCCTCTGCCTCCCAAGTGTTGGGATTAAAGGCTGTGCACTACCACACCTAGCCCTGCTTTGATAATTCTTAAACTATACGTTTAAAATGAAAAGCACTAGATCTTCCCTACATAGACAGCCCTATTTCATCCTTCCATCACTTACACACTGCTGTCACATAATTTCAAAATATATGTATTTGAAAAAGCTGTATAAGTCTAAACTACTATGGAATCCTCTATCATTGGACATTTTTGGTTGTTCAGTGTTAAATTCTATCATCCTAGACTTTGTACATTAAGTCAGAGAATTAATTATTTCCATAATAATTGGTAAGGGAAAAAACCAAGGTGTCAGAGTATCTATTCCATAGTGCACTGCAAATAATACGTGTGTATGCATGCAACATACATATTTGTCACCTAGATACATAAGAAGTGACACTCAGTTACTAGTGTAGCCCTGGCAACACTCCCTTGGAAAACCCTGTCCTCTCTTCCTATTACCTTTTCTGGTAATTAATTGCTATACATGCTTGATGGCTCTTGTAAGAGGTAGGCATGCAAATCAGACAGTTGTTTTAGGTGGTGAAGTCAGTATAGTTTCTGCCAGGGACTAACAGGCCAACCTCAGGGTCTACTTTTTCAGCTTCTTCTTTGTTACCCACTAGCAGTCCCTTTTCCTAAGTTAACAACTTTTTGTATATGCTGTTGTTCAGGTGACTAGAGCTGATATCCATTTTATTTGGCATCAGCTGCCCGCTGCTGTTGTAGCTGTTGGGATCCGAACTTTCTTTGCAGCACAAGATGCTGTAGAGGTGCCTCTGGCACTCGCAGGAAGCATAGTAGTAAATCAAAGGGTCAATGCAGCAGCTCAGGCTGCTCACACAGACGCAGAGGAGGTAAGCAAAGTAGGCTGCCTCTGTGGTGGGACTGTCAGAGAGAAATAAGTAATGTGCAATGAGGAGGACATTGGTGGGGCCAAAGCAGATGATGAAGATGCAGAATACAGTGGCTGACAGGAACAAAGCCCGGGATTTCTTGCTCCTGTTGGCAACTGTTGAGGAGCTGAGACACCGAATAATAGATACATAGCAGATGGTGGAAATGACCAATGGTATAAAAAAGAAGACCGCAGAGAAGGCTGAAAAATAGTAGGCATAGAAGCCTTGGAGCAGAGTTTCATTGAGGACATCGTGACAGGTGGTGATGTTGAGCCCTGGGACCTGGGTGGTCTGCTCCTTGAGAAGAAGAGGCACCACCCCCATGATGGCCAGTGCCCAAATGACCAGGCAAGTGAAGGAAGCTCTGCCCAGAGTGCGCCAGGACAGGGACTGGATGGGGTACACCACTGCCAGGAACCGGTCGATGCTTATGACAGTCATGAGCATGATGGACGCGTACATATTACAGTAAAATGCTGCAGTGGTGAAGCGACACATTCCAGACCCGAACTGCCAATCACTGCCCGAAAAGTAGTAGCTGATCTTGAAGGGGAGCACAGACACAAACAGCACATCGGCCGTGGCCAGGTGCAGCATGTACACCACGGCAGGCTTCTTGACCTTCATCTTCAGGATGAACACAGCCATGGCCAGGATGTTCAAAGGAAGGCTGACTATGAACACGCAGGTGTAAACAGAAGGGATGAAGAGCGTCAGCCAGGGGCTGGTCAGATATCCTGAGGCGTCTTTGGAGATGTAGGGAGCAGGTGGTTTAGGAAGAAAACTGCTTTTATTGGCAGAGACTGACCTGCCCTCAGGCAAAGCACTTTCATTTTTGTCCTCATCCTCCTCCAGGGGGAACTGCTCAAATACATTTTCACTTGGATTCCTGAGATAAAAGGAGCGGGGTTTTACAGTAACACCTGTTACTTCTGGCTCTGAAAAAGAAAATTGAAAAAGTGAATGAAATAAACTGGCAAAAGTTACAAGTAGAGCACACATGCTACAACTGTCTGTCTTCTGTCATCTCAGGAAAAGATCTGGTCACACACACATGGATTACCGACTTGATTAGTGTATAGCTAACTCAGAATATTGTGCAACATTCTGTTTGGATACAAGCAAACTCATAAAACTCTGCTTCTTCAAGGGATAAAGGTGAACGACCACTTCCAGATCTACCCTGCAAACCTCACCTGTCAGGAACAGGAAGGATCAGCTAGGGGCTGGTTTTTTTGGACTCCCTTCTCTTTCTTTTCTTCCTTCCTTTCTTTCTTGTTACATTTTACTTTGTGTGGTGCGAGGAGCACACATGACATAGTGTACTGTGGAGCAGGAGTTGCTCTCTCCGTCTACCATGTGGATCCAGGGACTGAACCCACGTCTCCAGTCTTGGTGGTAAGCACCTCTAACCACTGAGCCATCTTGCCAGTCCTCGATGGTGCTTTCTTTCCTGCTTTGTCCACCATCTACACAGACAGACCAGGTCCAGCTTCTGTGGCTTCTCTTTCTTCCTCCAGTTAGTTTAGGGTCATGCGAGAAACCCATCTCTCCCAAAGGAAAAATCTACATAGAAAGCAGAGAGGAATTCCCACAGGCCATGGAACACGGAGCTCATTCAGAACAGGCCCCAGGGCTTCCCAATCTGATGACTAAGGTCCACATGGCAGCAGTTTTCCATCTTCAGTTTGCTTACACAGTAGAAGGTCCCAAATCTCTCATGTATCTGGGGTACCTAACTACACAACCACAAGGCACCTGTCATCTGTCACCATCTTGTCTCCTTGCCTAGCAGGTAGCCCACCAGCAGATGATGTTGGCCATTTATGCCCCCATGGCCTTGGAATGCTAGATGTCTTAAGGCACAACCCTGCCAACCAGGTACTTTGCAGTATCAATCAGATGTCAAAATAAAAGCTTAGCTTTTGTTAAAAGAAATCACTGTCTTGCCGGGCATGGTGGTACATGCCTTTAGTCCCATACTAAAGGCAGAGGCAGGTGGATCTCTGTGAATTCAAGGCCAGCCTGGCCTACATAGTGAATACCAGGCCAGCTGGGGCTCCAAGGAGACCCTGTCTCAAAGAAAGACAAAAAAAAAAAAAAAAAAAAAAAAAAAAAAAAAAAAAAAAAAAATCACTATCTCTGCCAAAATTATCCATTTGAAATGCTCACCAGAGAAAAGTAACAGTGCCAGTCAGACATCAATCAATTTTTACCTACCTAAAAGATCAGAATCTACCTACTCAAGGACAAAGAACATTTGTTGGATATTGAGAGGCTGATGGGGACAAACAAGAATGACAGAGGAAGAGGAGCAAGGGTTCTGCTACTGGAGTGCTGGCAGTCAAGGCTGGACATACATGTGTTTTAGAGAGATGTCCTAAGAGTTAAAACTTGGCCAGAAACTAGACAAGTATTGTGGATTTTCAGACTTTGTGCTAGATAGCTTTAGTGTTAACTTGACCCACCTGGGTAGAGGGAGCCTCAATTGGGGAATTGCCTCTATTAGACTGGCCTGTGGCCATGTCTGAAGGGCATCTTCTTGATGAGTGATGTGGGAGGGCCCAGCCCACTGTGGCTGGTGCCATCCCTGGGCAGGTGGGCCTGTGTTGCATAAGAAAGCAGGTTGAGCAGGGGCCAAGGGAGCAAGCCAGTAAAAGCAGTAACTAGGATAGACTTGGTTTTGTTTTTCTCCAGTGGAACCTTCCTGCAAGTACACATTTACAGAGAAGTATAATACAGCGAAAGAGCAAATTCTACTTCCAGCACAGCTCTGGAGGATCCCACCAGAGCCAGTGCTCTCAGAATAATATTATCGGCTCTGCTGCACTTCCCTGCCCTCCCCCATCAATGGCCCGAAGGCATTCAGGATCACAGGATGGGAGAAGCAAGGGGAGAGAAGAGGAATGATGAGTCTTGGAAGAAAGGATGGTATCAGGGTTTTTTGTTTTGTTTTTTTCAGTGACTTTTAGATTGAATCACAAAGTCGATGTGGTGTTGGTGATAATGTGGCATACATACTTGTCCCTTGTCCCATTTCCAGGCACGTAGATCCTGAGATTCTTGGAATCTCCAGGATGATAAGAATGCCTTTTGTACACCATTGAGTTGACTGGTGGTTGGTGGCTTCCAGGTAGCTTCAGGATGGGGTCTGGTCTCAGGAAAGACCAAAGCCACCCTGGAAGGAGGGAGGGGAGCCTCTGCCTCATTCTGCACATTTTGATCTTTGCATCTCATCATCTCTGGCCACTCATCATCATTCTTTATAATATCCTTTATGATAAATGGAAACATAGGGAAGTGTTTTCCTGAGTTTTTTGCACTAGCTGCTTTAGCAGATTAATGGACTCTGAGGAAGAACCACGGGTACCCTCAATACACAGACTATTTGGTCAGAATTCTGGAGGTCCAAACTTAGACCTGATATCTGAAGTGGAAACAATCTTATGGGGTTGAGCCCTTAATCTGGGGGTTATGAGTCTCTGTCCAGGTAGACAGTATGAGAATTGAGGTTTAAATTACAGGACATCTAACTGTTGTCTGCTGGAGAATCTGCAGGATTGTGTGGTGTGAGGGCAAACAGCTTTGACATCACAGGGGTCATGAGCACTTAATGAAGTGCTGCATAAGGCAGTAGGAAGAACAGTTTGTGTTTCACTGTTTTAACAGTTGATGAGAACAGGAGATAGAAACTGGTCTAGTAGTTTTAGAGACAAGAAACCTTGGTTTCTGTCTGGCCAGAAGCTGGAAATGTCCTTGGTTCTAACTACAGTTTTGTCCTGCTGGAAGCAGGGGTTTAGAGGCACTGCACCCTGGCTGGTCTCTTGTTATCTTCTCTTTTTATACAGCTCCTAGATGCTATACGTGAGGGTGAGACCAAAACTCTAGTCCCAACACCACCATCTGTTTTGGTGAACAGTTTTGGAATTGGATTTTAAGATCTCAATTGACAAGGGGGGAGAGAATGTTAGGTAGCTTGATAGGGATTAGCGGCCATGGAAGCCATTGAGGATGGACTGGTCCTGCATAATCATCTTTGGACCCCACCTCTCATTTCCCTGCAAACTCTAGAAAGGGAAACATCCCAGTTGCTTCTCCACAGGATTTAAAAGGTGGCACTGTCAGGGCTTCCTTGAGGCCCACAAACAGAAAGCTACTTCCTCCTAGTCCACCTTTGGCCCTGAGAGGAGACATGACATTTTGATCTACCAGGCCAGCTGGGGCTACAGGAGACCCTGCTTCTATTGGGGAAAAAAAAAAAAAAAAAAAGACTTAAACCTAAGACCTAAAACTGTAAAACCATTACAAGACACAGAAGGAAATCTCTCAACTATAACTTCAAATATAAGCAGCCAAGGGGAATGGCATCAAACTACAAAGCCTCTACACAGCAAAGGAACCACCAACAGTGAAGAGCTAGCTGACAGAATGGAGAGAATAAGATAATACTGCAATCATATATCAATAAGGGATTAATGTCCAAAATGCATAAGACGAAAACAACTTGAATAAAAAAATGAGACAGCAACTAAATAGGCATTTCTCCAAAGGTTGATATAAAAGTACCTAAAAAGCATGTTAAAAAATACATTACAGTCACCAGGGCATGAAAATAACAGCACAGTGAGATAGTACTTTGTATTCACTGGAATGGTTATCATGAAAAAGGAAAGATAAGAAGGCTTGGCTTGGGTGTGGAGAAACCAGAACCCTTGTACACTACTGGTGGGGGTGGGAAGTAACGCAGCCATTATGGGAAACAGTATGGATGGAGCTTCTTCAAAAAATTAAAAACAGAATCACCATTTGATTCAGCAGTCTCACTACTGAGCATGCATACAAAGGAAATGAAATTAGCATATCCAAGAAGTAACAGCATTCCACTGTTTGTACACCATTTAGAGTAGCCAAGATATAGAACCAGCCTGTGTCTATGGGTAGAATGGTAAACGGAAATATGGTTTAGCAGGTATAGGACTATAATCCTAGCACTAGGGGAGGTGGGGTCAGGAGGATGAGGAGTTCAAAATCATTGTGATAGTTAGCTTTAAAAAAAAAAGACTATTTATGGGACTGGTGAGATCGCTCAGAGGTTAAGAGCACTGACTGCTCTTACAGAGGACCCGGGTTCAATTCCCAAAACCTACATGGTGACTAACAACTGTCCAAAACACCAGTTCCAGGGGATCTGACAACTTCTGACCTCTGGCCATTGTACAACACAGGTGAACTTACATACATGTAGGCAATACACTCATACACATAAAAAATAAAAAGATTATGATTATTTATGAGCGCACACACACACACACACACACACACACACACACACACATACACACACACACACACGCCTGTGGTGGGTTTACATTGGGTTGGCCTGTGGACATGTCTTTGGGGAGATTGTCTTAGTTGATGTGGGAAGAACCAGCCGGCTGAGGATGGCACTATTCTCTAGGCAGGGGGTCTCAACTGTAAAAGAGCGGGAAAGTGAGACGAGCGCAAGCAAGCACGCGTGCACACACGATTCATCTGTCTTTGCTCTTGACTGTGGATGTGATGTGACCAACTGCCTCAATCTCCTATTGCTGTGACTTCCCCACAGTGATGGGCATTGAGGTGGGAAGAACCAGCCGGCTGAGGATGGCACTATTCTCTAGGCAGGGGTTCTCAACTGTATAAAGAGCGGGAAAGTGAGACGAGCGCAAGCAAGCACGCGTGCACACACGATTCATCTGTCTTTGCTCTTGACTGTGGATGTGATGTGACCAACTGCCTCAATCTCCTATTGCTGTGACTTCCCCACAGTGATGGGCTGTAACAGAATTAGCTAAAATAAACCCTTTTTCCTCTAAGTTACTTTTTGTTAGGGTTGTTTTGTCATAGCAACAGAAACAAAACAGGAACAGTCATCTTTCACTATATAGCAAGTTTGACG